ACAAATATACATAATCATGTCAACTTCCTACCGCGCCTCCAAAAACGACGTTGTTTTGGGAGGCACGGGGCGCACAGTGCACTGTGCACCGTGGTGCAGGGTATAACGATTGACTTAAGGTTATTCTTTGTTACAAAAGTGGTATGGAACAAAATATGACAAATTATTGTATAGACCATGGTCCACAGTCCACACAGTGTTGTATGGATCATAAAAAATGTACATTATTAATATTAATATATTAAAAGTACATTATTTGTGTACCGGATGTACATTATACAAAATCTTGTACTCTCAGTACTCAAATAGTGTACTTTTCTTGAATGCAATGTACATTTTTAATATACTAAAACTATATTATTTATGTAATGAATATACATCAGTTGACAATATACAAAATAATGTACTTTTTATTTATGATCTATACAATAATGACTCACAAAATATACATTGAGTTTATATGTAAGGTTATCTTAGTATTTTAAATTAAAATTTTAATAAATATATTAATTATTTTAAGTTGGAATTTGTAAATAGAAGTTTAAATTAATTAAATAATGTATAAGTTTATATTTAATTATTTATTAGTAAAAAAATACTAGTTTATTAAAATTAAAAGTTTAAAATGTTAATTTGAAAATATCAAAAGCTTTAGTTGAGCCTATCTGGTAAACCCGACAACATGAGGTTTTAGGGTTAGGGTAAAAATTTTGGCAAATTATTGTGTGGACCATGGTCCACACAATGTTGTATGAACCATAACAAAAAGTACATTTTTAATATACTAAATGTACATTATTTTTGTACTTAATGTACATTATTTTACAGTATACAAAATATGGTCCACACAAGTTGTGTGGACCATATTTTGTATATTGTAAAATAATGTACATTCAGTATAAAAATAATGTATATTCAGTACAAAAATAATGTACATTATATTCAGGAGATGTACATTATTTTTGTACTGAGTGTACATTATATTATATATTGTACATACAGTACAAAAATAATGTACATTTAATATATTAAAAATATACTTTTTGTTATGGTCCACGTAACACTGTGTGGACCAATTTGCCCACTTCCCCTATAACATATTAACAAAACCTCATAGCCTCAAAATAATGACAATATTAGCCCCAAAAATTAATATCAGATAATGAAAAGAGTTAATTCCAGCAATGGTCCTCTGACTATATTGATTTTTCAAAATTAGTCCTTGACTTTTAATTTGGACACTTTAGGTCCCTTAACTTTTAATTTCTTTCAATTGAGGTCCTTTCGTTAGAATACAGTTAATTGAATTTTAAATGAAGGGGTAAACTCATCATTTCACCTGCCTATGTATTATTCTTAGTATTTCTCCATTGTATACGCGATATATATGAAGATAATCTTAGTCGAAACCTTAAAATGTTCCTCGTCGTTCCCCATTTGCTGACTACTCGTGTGTGCGTTCCTCTATTATTGAGATGTTTACAAGGTATAACAACGAAATATGAAGGGAGAAATACGAAGAATAATACATAGGTAGGTGAAAGGACGAGTTTACCCCTTCATTTAAAGTAATGAACCGTATTCTAACGAAAGGACCTCAATTAGAAGAAATTGAAAGTCAAGGGACCTAAAGTGTCCAAATTAAAAGTCGAAGGACTAATTTTGAAAAATCACTATAGTCGGAGGATCATTGCTGGAACTCTAATGAAAATAAATGAATTACTGAATTGAAATTTGAAAGAAATATATTTATAGGCATTAGAGCAAAGGAATAACCAGGTCCACCACTCTCACCCCAATGATCAACTATGCAAATCAAAACAAAAAGGAATAAGGATCAAATAGGCCACTGAACTGCACATCAAATTACAATTAGGCCATCAAACTAAAAAAAGATGCAATTAGGTCCCTGAACTACATAAATTTATACAATTAGGTCTAAAATAACCTATTTACCTGCTATGTAGGTTGGGAATTTTAAAAATAATTTTAAACAAAAAATTAAATAATAATAATAATAATAATAATAATAATAATAATAATAATAATAATAAAAAACAGAACGGCCGGAGAAAAAACCTTCGTCTCCCGTCTCCGGCCGTTCTTTTTTTTTTTTTTTTTTTTTTTTAAATTTTTAATTAATTTTTTGTTTAAAATTATTTTAAAAATAATTTTTAAAATCCGCAACCTCCACGTCAGCAGAGTATTGGGTAAACAGGTCATTTTAGACCTAATTGCATGAATTTGTGTAGTTCAGGGACTCAATTGTTGTTTTTTTGAGTTCGATGGCCTAATTGTAACTTGGTGTACAGTTCAGTGGCCTATTTGACCCTTATTCCAAACAAAAAATAAGTTAAGAAATTAAAATTGAATGAATGAAAAGATACAGTAAGAAGGTTATATAAATTATCTTTTTCAAAATTTTCAACTTCATCTGGATTTTTCTCAATTGAAATTGGTTGATTTGCCAACATAATCAAATCTTGTGTACACACAAAAGTTTCAACAATTTTAGGAGCTTCAACATGCACCAATAGGTGTGTGTATTTGTTTTTTTTTTTTGTTTTTGTTTTTTGTTTTTTTTTTTTTTTGTAAGGTCCAAAAAAAATTCATTTATTGCTGCACTTATTTTTTCTTTTCTTTCTTTTCCTTTCTCTTCCCTTTGATCCACACTCTCTCCTCTCCATATAACCAAAAAAATCCATAAAAAAACACTACCACTGATGCTGTCAAAATAGTGCAAGAAAACAACCATTTATCAAATATCATTTTAGCTATGGGTTAAAATTGCTAACTTTTGATTAAAACGCTATTTATAAAAGAAGTTGAATTGTATAAAGCACATTTGTATAAGTAATTGTGAAATCGCCTATGCAAGTGTTTATAACATGAAGTAGATGAATTGAGACTAAATTCATCTGATCAGAGCCATTCTCTAAATATATTCATACATTTTGTATCTTTACAGTATTAGCATATATATGTGTGTGTATATATATATGCTCAACTCAGAAACCAACCCACTAGTTTACTTCAACCTGCAATTTTTTTTTTTTTTTTTTTTTGGAGACAAGCATCCTCCACTATGTTCCGCTGCCTGCATTTTACCAACTATGGCTTCTCATCCTTGTCCTCTGCAAAGTAGATTTCCGGCTTTTCATGTTAAAGTATTAGGTAACATGGTACACCATACATTCTTAGGGTGTGTTTGGTTGGTGGGTTTTGCCCATAGGAATGAGTATGAAAGTGATTGTTATTGTTTGGTTGATAGGTTTTTAGAACACTACTATGAGTTTCAAATACCCAATCAATTGCAAAATTCATACCCAAATAAAATAAGGATTTCATTCTCAAGCATTACTATTAATAACCATTCTCATTCCACCCTACTACCAAACATGTTAAATACTTTTACCAACACTTATTACTATTACTAAGTATTTGATACCCATTCTGATTCCAATTCCCATATGCGAACCAAACACACCTTTAATACATATCGACTGGCAAGCCGCAAGAGTTTAACTCAGTTTTTTTTTTTTTTTTTTTTTTTTTTTTTTTTTTGCGATGGATATAGTATATTGGTAACAACACTGTATAGTCATAATCCGGTTATTAACAAGAATTGATGAGGAAACTCACCTATAGTTTTGGGATCTATATGTACAAAGAAACTAGCAGCGGCTAGGGGTGTTCATTCGGTTAACCGTTCGGTTAACCGAACCGTTTTAACCGAACCGAATTAACCGAACTTTTTTTTGCTTTAACCGTTAACCGAACCGAAATTTACTCTACCGAATTGACCGAACCGAACTTTTTTTCGGTTAATCGGTCGGTTAACCGATTAACCGAAATTTTTAACCCTAAAATTTAAAATCCATAAAATAATTCCTAAAATAATAATTCCAATTAAAATAAAATACATATCATAATAAATTCATATTATTATGTATTCTATTTGACATTTTGACTATTTTTTATTTTAGTAATTATATATTTAATATTTAATATATTATATATTATATATATATATATTCTAAAATTCGGTTAACCGTTCGGTTAATTCGGTTAACCGACACTTTCGAACCGAATTAACCGTTAACCGAATTTTAGGAAAACCTTTAACCATTAACCGAACCGAAATATTTCGGTTCGAAAACGGTTAACCGAATTTCGTCGGTTCGGTCGGTTAACCGAAATTTCTCCAAAATTTGCACACCCCTAGCAGCGGCTATCAGGTAGCAGAGAAGGAGCATGAGCCCCTTGAAGTAATTTGAAGTTCATTCCTGCAGGGGCGATTGGAGATTGTTTCAACCCATATAAAGAGCGCTTAAGACGGAAAACAAGATTAGCTCCTGTCTTAGTCACAAATTCAGGTAGTTGTTCCATATACACTTCCTCATTCAAATCCCCATGTAAGAAGGCATTCTTTATATCCAACTGATACAGTAGCCAGTGATGGTTGGCTGCCATGGAGAGTAAGAGGCGGATAGAAGTGATCTGGCCACCGGTGAGAAGGTATCCGTGTAGTCAATGTCAAAAACCTGTGTGTATCCTTTAGCCACAAGTCGAGTTTTGAGTCTATCAACTTGTCCATCTGGACCAACCTTCACATTATACACCCATCTACAACCAACCACAGGTTTACCATGAGGTAAAGGTACTAACTCCAAGCAGTTCATCAACCTTCACATAATGTAGTGCTTTCATTTCATCAACCATTGCTTGAGTCCACCCTGGATGAGTTAATGCCTCCTTGACATTGTTTGGAACAAAAGCAGTTGACAAACTAGCAATGAAGGCACAGTATGATGGAGACAGACGTTTTTGTGAAAGGAAATTATAGATAGGGTAAGGATTTCGAGTGGATCTTTTACCTACTCGACTGGCAATGGGAGAGTCTGACGTGGTGTTTTGGGCAGCATCATTAGGTAACAATGATGTAGAACATGACTCAACTGGATGTCTATCCTCTTGGGAATCTTGACGATTGCGTCATTGGTAGGTATACAACAACGGTGGAATATGCCCTTCCTCTTGAATGGTTGGAGTTGGTATAGTTCTTTCAGGAATATGTATGGTTCTTTCAGGAACAGTGGGAGATACATGTTCTGAGAAAGTAGGAATATGGAGAATTTCTGTGATTTCAATGGGTTCCCCTAGGAAATTAGACTCAACGAAGGTGGAAGAGAAAAAAGGTGTTGTTTCAAAAAATGTAACATCGTAAGAGGTATAAAATCGGTGTGTTCTAAGACAGTAACACTTAAAGCCTTTTTGGAGGCGAGAATACCCAAGGAAAACACATTTTATTGCCTTAGCATCAAGTTTATCACGCCCTGGAGAAGTATTATGAACAAAGCAAGTACACCCAAAGATTCGCAATGGAAGCTTATGGAGAGGTTCCTGTGGACGTAAGATATGAAGAGGAATTTTTCCTTGCAAAACAGAGGAAGACACCCGATTTATGAAATAGCAAGAGTGAAGTATAGCATGCCCCCAAAAATTCTTAGGTACCTTGTTATGAATAAGCAAAGTACGAGCAGTTTCAACAAGATGACGAATTTTTCGTTCAGCAACTCCATTCTGTTGAGGAGTTCTAGCACATGATGATTCATGAAGTATTCCATTTGAGGAAAAGAAAGAAGTGAAAGACTCAGAAAAATATTCTCTTGCATTATCACTGCGTAAGATTTTGAGAGATGCCTCAAATTGATTCACAATTTCATTGTAGAATTTTTGAAACACATCAAATAATTCAAAACGATTCTTCATTAGAAAGACCCAAGTGCATCGAGAGAAATCATCAATGAAGACAACAAAATATGAGAAACCCAAAGTGGATGAAACTCGACACGGTCCCTCAGAGTGAACTAAAGAAAATGGGGTATTGATCCTCTTATTCACTCTACTAGGATATGAAGCTCTTGAGTGCTTCCCAAGCTGACATGATTCACACTCTATGATTTTTAAATTCGACAATCCAGGAGCCAGTTGTTTTAATTTATTGAGGTCAGGATGTCCTAAACGACAATGGTTAATTAAGGTGGAAAGAATGAAAAAAAAAAAAACTACATAAGCAACATATTAGCCCAACTCTATTAGTTTAGACAACAGATTGAAACATCATCATAGCCAACTTAAATTATTAAGTTAGAGCATCCACATTAGTTGGGGAGAATTGGGGGATAATGTAAGAGTGATTAGGAAAGAGAAGATGGGAGGGGAGAGAAAAAAAGGAAAAAAAAAAAAGAAAATTAAATTTAAAATAAATAATAATAATAAAAATATGACTGTCAGGCGCGCCTGACGGGCGCGTGCATTGCACGCGCGCATTAATTGACTTTTTGTGGTGGGTCCCACCATTTCTGAATTCTCCCCTTCACTTGGAGAATTATTTCTCAAATAACTCTTCCTCACATTAGCTATTATCTTGGGTGGGGAGAATTAATGCTGAAATAACTCCAAATAATCCACAAATGTGGATGCTCTTAGTAAAGATTTAATAATTTAAGAAATACAAATTAAAAACAAACTGAATCACTTAAACATAAATTGAAAGTAAGGGACAGTGATACACAAGATTACTAGATTAGCATTCAAAGCATCAAGGGTTAAGGGCCAAAGACATATACTAATTACTAATACATGTGCAATATATAAGTTTTGAGTTTTTAACTCAAAGGTAGCAACAATTTTTTGTTTACACAAGGTTGCAACAATTAAAAAAGTTGCAACAACATTTAAAAACTTACCAAACCAGTGAGCCACTTTCCTATAACATATTAACAAAGCCTCGTAGCCTCAAAACAATGACAATATTTGTATCAAAAATCAAAATTAGATAATGAAAATAAATGAATTGAATTTTGAAAGAAATAAAGTTATAGGTATTGGAGGAAGGGAATTGAATAACCAGAGCAACTATGCAAATCATAAAATAAGTTAGAAACTATAATTGAATGAATGAAAAGATAAAGTAAGAAGGTTCGTTATAATTTTATTTTATTTTTTCAAATCTTTCAACTTTATCTAGATTTTTCTCCATTGAAATGAGTTGGATTGGCCAACGGTATCCAATCTTGTGCACACACAAGAGCTTCAACATTTTTTGGAGTTAAAAAACTCCTAAAAGCATATGACAATTGACAATGACAAATGTAATTTCCAGGACGCTATTCAGTACAGACGAGTGCTTAAGCGTTTTTAAATTAAAGCATTGCTGATTTGATGGTTTTGAATTGCTTCTTTTAATTCGTTGCTGGTTTTCATTCATTTGAATGACCACATGATGTGCTAATGCTAAATGATTTGGCACTATTAGGCGTTTACATGTGCTGAGATTATTAAATGTTACTGTAAATGGTACGTACATACTACACTTTAATTTTCACATGCAGCACAGTCAGCAAATTTTGTTTTAAGCTGCTTTACAAAGGCACGCTTGCTTCCTCTATCTCCTTAAATTCTTAGCTTCTCCTTACAAAGGCAAAATATTTCTTTCCTACTTACCAATTTCGTATACATATATACATACAGAAGATTAGATAGGGATGACAAGATACTATGTTGTGGGGGATGACGGTAGCCATGCCGCCGCCGCGGCAGGCAGTAGTTTTGGTTTAATGATGATGTTTTGCGCGGTTGTTATGTCTGCCATAATCATAATTCCTATGCTCATCTTTGCTTGTGGAGACGGAGACACTAACGACGTCGTGGACGATGATGGAAAGACCCAGACCCAGAAGTCTCGGAAAAGACCCAGAAGTCCCTGAACACCACAGCAGGACATGATTCAATAGGAGGTATCGTCTCAAACACGGCCTCAACAGCAACTGCTATGAGCACATTTAGCGGCGGCTTTTAAATATATATGTATGTAGGTCTATGTGGTTTACTTGGTGTAGTGCAAGTTAAGCTTAACTGTGTATATGTTTGTACCCTCTCACTTCACATTGTGCTTATTTCCCTGTCAGTGTACGTACAAATGAATATTTCTAGTGTTTGTTTAATTATTATGATAAAGTATTGGTTAATTATTACGGAGTATATTGTTAATTGTTAGTGTATTATTATTGTATCAATTTATGAGGTTTATACAAGATCAGAGCTTCATCAACCTCTCTCTCCTTTAAAATATTTCTCGACCATTCTTCCTTTAATACTTTCCCTTTACCTTCATAAACTCCTTGATATGTTACATCTTACTGCGGTAGACAACTGCAGCAGCCCTAGATGGGTGTCCTATAGATAAGGAAAGAGGGAGGATGGGTGGCAAATGGAAGAAGAAAGAAAGGCAGAAGAGACAGTTGACAGTTGAAAGAAGAAAAAGTCGAGGGACTAGAACGACGCCATTTGATGGGGGCAATTAAGTCGTTGAATAAAAGGGATCCCACGACGTCGTTTGGAAGCAACCGTTGAAGCCGTTGTCCTAGCTATCCGACGACGTCGTTTTAGACGTTTTGGCCAGCGCATCTTTCTGTTATGATCCGATATTGTAGGAGTTGTTTTCCTTTGTTGCTTTCCATTAAATCTGTAGAGTGATAGTGGATGGAGGTTTATGCTAAACAATATACTGAACTTTTCTCTATTCTTCTCCTCTTCTCTTCCCTAAACCCTAATTTCTTCCCCAATTCTATTTTCCAAAACTGTGGAGCACTGCATTTGGTATCAGAGCTCATGGATGAGCGTGTCCGTAGATTGGAAGCGTATGAAAATGAGCTGAATCAGAAGCTCGAGGAGCGATTACATGCCACTTAGACCACTGTGGATGGCCTTTCGACAAAAGTAGATGGACTATCGACTCAGGTGGCCAACCAGATTGGGAGTCTGAGAGAGGAGATCCTGCAGCTTTTCAGACTTAATCGACCAGCTCCTCCTATTGTTGGTCTTTCTCCAGGACAGGCTTCAGTCCAGGGTCAGTATCCCGGATAGTCCAGCTCTGGGGTGGGTGGCAGGCCTGACAAGGCTCCAGTTCCAGAAGACAATGAGGAAGGAATTGGCCAGAGAGTTGACACCCCTATAGTTGTGGAGCCACCTGAAGGGATTGAGTTGGATTGGGGTCCAAGGAGAAGGGCAACCCTGGACAGAAGAACAGGGCAAAACCAAGAGTTTGTGCAAAGGTATAAGAGTGAGTTTCCAACATTTGATTATACACACCCCAGGCAGTGGGCTCTAAGATGTGAAGAATTCTTTATTATCTCCCATGTCCCTAGAAATGAGATCTCTAATTTGCTGTATGTCCATTTAACTGGGAAATCAAGAACGTTCGAACTAGAAGACTCAACACGAGACAAAGGAAAACGGACAGATTTCCCTAGTTGACATGCGCTGCACAAACTAAAATGACAACGAATAGTACTACTAGACCCACTAACCGAACAAAATTGAAGAACACGACTAAGAACACGTTGATGTGGATGACCCAAGCGGTTATGCCAAACTGAGGCAAAGGCACGAGCGGAAAGAAACGCGGAAGGAGACGAACTTGTGACTGGTAATATAGCCCCCCAGAGCTACTGGCCCGTAGAAGAATTTCTTTGGTATTGATATCCTTCCCAACGAAAAAAAGATGGGTGAAACTCAAAAAACCCTTTATTATCTGAAGCAAATTTTTGAACAGACAACAAAGAAGTGGACAATGTAAGAATATGGAGAATATCTGACAATTATTGAAACGGACTAGGATGGGTATTAAAAGAAGCATGACCAACACGACTAATAGATAAACCCGTACCATCACCGACACGCAAAGTGCCACTACCATTGTACTCCTCCGAGGTGGAAAGGGCTGCTATATCAGGAGTAGCATGATTTGTTGCACCTGTGTCTGAAAACCATGTGTGAGTACCCGGAGTAGAGTCCGAGGAAGAGTTCTGATATACCATATGAGCTTGAGGATCTTTAGTATATCGAATATGACACGTAACTGCAGTGTGACCGAGTACCCCACAGAACTGGAATTTAGGCTGCCAGTTACCATCCCTACCGCCACCACGATTCCGGCCACCGCCGCGAGACTGACCGGTCTGACTGTTGTTCTGGTTGGAGTTGTGACCACCTCCTCCACGTGATTGGCCACCCCGACCACGCTGTTGTCCGCCCCGCTGCGCCGTAAAAGCAGCCGACGAACCACCTTCTGCTCTGCCGCCCGAAAGGAACTCCTCCGCGTCTAGGAGGTCAGCAAGCTCCTGGAGCGTCACTAGTTGTCCACGTACATTGAGGGAAGACGCCAGAGAATGAAATTTCGATCGTAAACCCTTAAAAACGTAGAGGTTCCGCTCCTTAAGGGTAATCGGTCGGCCGACGAGGGTGAGGTCTTCCACCAAGACTCGAGCCTTGCTGATGTATGCCGCGATTGAACTGTCTCCTTGGTGAAGAGACAAAAAGTACAATTTTTTCCTTTTTTTTTTTTTCTTTCTCTTCCCTTTTCTCCACACTCTCTCCTCTCCATATAACCAAAAAAAATCCAAAAATAAATAAATAAATAAATAAATAAATGTTTTCAAAAAAAAATAAATAAATAACAATACTGGGGATGCTCTCAAAATAATGCAAGAAAACAACCATTTATCAAATATCATTTTAGCTATGGGTTAAAATCGCTAACTTTTGATTAAAACGCTATTTATAAAAGTTGAATTGTATAAAGCACATTTGTATGAGCAATTGTGCAATCGTCTATTCAAACCAACTGATAAGATAAACTAAACATCAAATGATCAAAAATGCTGATCTGATGCGGCATCGGCTGCCATCTAACAAAATATAATGAAAAATCAGTACATGCAAGTGTTAATAACATGAAGTAGATGAATTGAGACTAAGTTCATCTGATCAGAGGGCCATTCTCTAAATATATTCACCTTTCAAAACACATATATATTCATACATTTTGTATCTTTACAGTATTAGCATATATAGTTTACTTCAACCTGCATTTTTTTTGGAGACTAACATTCTCCACTATGGTGAACTCAGGGACCAAAATGATCTTCGTCAAGAACAAAACAGAGAGAAAGCGAACATCAAATCTTACACGGGGAATTCACCAACATTTCTTCAACACTTTCATCATGTACACAAGATAGGGGTAGCACTCTATAAGAGTCTTCAAATTTTGCAGGTGTGTGCAGTGTGCCATGAATCTGCTGCCTGCATTTTACCAACTATGGCTTCTCATTCTTGTCCTCTGCAAAGTAAATTTTCGACTTTTCATGTTAAAGTATTAGGTAATATGGTACACTGTATACATTCTTAATACATATCGTTAACTGGCAAGAGTTTAACTCAGTTTTTTTTTTTTGTGGTGGATATAGTATATTGGTAACAACACTGTATAGTCATAATCTGGTTATTAACAAGAAAGCTGAAATGGTGAATACTATACATAAATTATGGAAGGGAAGTGCGAGGAAACTCACCTATAGTTTTGGGATCTATATGTACAAAGAAACTAGCAGCGACTATCAGGTAGCAGAGAAGGAGCATGAGCCCCTTGAAGTAATTTGAAGTTCCATCCTGCAGGGGCGATTTGGATTTTGACAACAAAACTAAATTAGAAAAGGGAATGTGTAGAATAATGCTCCCACTAAAACGGGGTGTGAAGGAGCAAAAACGGGAAGAAAGAAAGAAAAAAAATAGTTGGAAAAATGAACGATTTAAAAATTAGAAATCATAGCATTTATAAGAATTGTCATACTTGTAGCATGAATGCTACCACAAGAACACTCATGAAGAGGGTGGCCGTTTCAAAAAGTTGGAAGTCCAAGTTCATTGGTTTCCCCGTTATCCAGCCAACAACCACACAGAACGGAATCTGAAAAGCAAGCCATGGTGACAAAATTGGATCATGGAATAGAACAAAGAGAACAAAGTATGGAGCAAGAAAAATCATCTACAGCAAGGGTTTACATCTAAAACAGGCACTACTACCTACCCCAAACATGGCTATTTGTGTCGAGGATCCTATTGCCACTCCCAAGGAGATGTCCTGCACCAATGTTAAATAGACGAGACAGTTATGCCGCATTTACTTTTGTTATGAAGTGAGCGGGGATACTCACAAGCTTGTCTTTCACTGCAAACATGACAGCACCAGCATGTTCTGCTGCATTTCCGACAATAGGAAGCATGATGACACTTATAAATGCGACGGGAATGCTCATTGCAACAGATGCCCCCTGAAAACTCATTCATGATTATCATAAAGCTGATGCCAAGGTTTATTCCTTTATTTCACATGTATATATGATGTCTACAGCAGTAAGATGTAACATATCAAGGAGTTTATGAAGGTAAAGGGACAGCATTGAAGGAAGAATGCTCGAGAAATATTTTAAAGGAGAGAGAGCTTTGTGTCAAGTTACCTCTATGGCATTAACAAGGTACTCAGATAGCACAGTTATCAATACAGTCAAAACAAAAAGCCATGTGATTGATTCCCACTTGGATATCTCCGGACCTTCTTCGTCATCTGAGTCATCATCAATTTGACTATCTTCCTGAAAGTATGTCAGTATTTCAGATGCTGATAGAAACGTTAGAGTCCAACAAGGTAAACCAAGCATATTTTTAGCATCAAGAGTATCATTTGCCTCCCAAATGATCAAAATGTTCAAGGTGGAGGAAAGGTGTAAAAAGATGGAATCAGATTTGAAGCTCCAAATATTAATTGAAAGTTTGGAAAGGAAAAGAAAGAGTTGCAGAGGTATGCACTAAACAATATCATATTGAAAACAAATGCAGTCGAGAAGAGTTTAAGCTGAATGGCAAATAACTTCAACTGAAAGGTTACTAGGTTAGTGATTGTTATGGAATACATATTTAATATATGGAATCTCTATAGATTAAGGCAGTCTTAGGGATTTAACGTGTTTCTTATTCGAAGTCTTCTAGCATGTATTTATAGGCTTGGTATTCTCTTTTCTATACGACAGCACATTTAGAAACTCTCTCTTTACTTTCGTAACATGGTATCTAAGCCTTTAAAATAAAAAAAAAATTTCGCTCCGTTGTCATCACGTTCTGACTAGCGTGTGAGGCTCCTCCAACGATTGGAAAACGTTTTGGTCAACCTGTTCTTGGGTTGCCTAAGTCTGTTTGTCTTGGTTCTGGACTTAGTTTGGACCATTCTTTTATGCTCTACGGTCAGTTTGTCTCGTACACCTTCAGGCTCCCTTCTTTGTGTGTTTTGTGATCTGTTTGTGATCAATTTTTAGTGGGTATGACTGGGTATAAATGTGCTGCTGTTGCCTCCGGATCTTATGATGAAGAGGGTTATTGGTGAGGGGCTTGCGTCTTGGGGTCTCTATGTTCTTGACCTCTAGAAGGATGGAGTCCATTGCGTGTTTTGGTGCTGTCTCTCCTTTTTTATGCTCGTCCTTTAGAGCGTGCTTCCCTTTTGTTAGTAAAGATGCTTCCCTTTTGTTAGTAAAGATTCTTCCCTTTTGCTAGTAAAGAAATTGTGTCCTCTAGTTTGGAATTTGTCTTCTTTACCTTGTGTGTCCAAGCTTGTTCGGTCCACTATGTGTTCACCCGGAGTTGCAGTATTGGTGGCATCCAAGCTTCCGGTTTAGGGGAGGGTCCAATCCCAAGCTTGTTCGGTCCACTTCGAGTTACCCGGTATTTGTCCGTGGTATTGGTGGCATCCAAGCTTCTGTTGCAGGGGGAGTGTCCAATCTCGAGCTTGTACGGTAGTTCACCCAAATGTCCGTGGTATTGGTGGCACCCAAGCTTTCATTTTAAGGGAATGTCCCAAATGGATTTGAGTTAGCTCGTTAGTTAGTTATTTTGGGTTTGTTATATTTGGGTTATCAGTTATTTGTGTAACAAGTTGGGCATGATTAATATCTATGCTCCAACTGGAGGGGGAATGTTATGGAATACATATTTAGATAGGTAGACATATGGAAACTTGTTTCCTATTCGAAGTCTTCTAGCATGTATTTATAGGGCTTTGTATTCTCTTTTCTATACGACAACACATTTAGAAACCCTCTCTTTACTTTCGTAAAGTGATAATAACAATGATGTGGCCAAGGAAATGTTATATGATAGTTCCATATCTAGGTCAAAAGTAGAGCCAGGGTCAAGGACTTGAGTAAATCATGACCCTCGCCTAGATGCCCTCAATAAAGGAGTCTCCTTCACTAGGTTTGTCATTTCCCATCTATAAGAGCAGAAAGAAGCACCACATATGTTATGGGAACATTTCTGACTTTAACTGGCAATTTCATACATAGGATCAGAGACGAGCAACATTTGATGTAGCGAGAGATACTAAATAATTATATACGGAGTGGCAACCACTGACCTCTGCAATTGGCACGTAGAGACTCCTTTCACTAGTCAACTGAAAAAAGAGATATGCACCATATGCTACAAGCATTATGCAGCTACTAAACCTTGAGAGCGCCAACTCAGATTTCCCAAAATGAACCTCAGTATGCGTAAAATGGAGGACAGCTGGGAACAACAGCCCCATCACAGCCATCAAAAGCAACCCCGAATTCATTATTGCAGTTCCCTAACAGCAGAATATGAAAACATTCAATTATCGTACTATTAATACTTAACCGAAGGAAAGTAAACTAATTTTTCAAAAGCAAACGCAACCAAAATCTACATGATGCTGGAATACCTTGTTGAAAACTTGCTCTTTATGAGAATGAGCAATTCCGCCAGCCAAAAAAGCGCTTCCAAGCACCAGTAACATGTTCGAGAGAATTGAGCCCAATAGTGACTGCTGAATAACACGTATCATGCCTCTGTTAAGTGCATACATTGATATTATTAACTCTGTTGCATTTCCAAAAGTGGCATTTAAAAGGCCTCCAACTGCAAAATTTCAATTCATTATAGAAAAAGAGATATGGTAAGTAATTTGCATGGAGAGTATAAAAATGAACAATGACTAAGCTAACCAGTGCAAAAACCTTTGCTTCAACACAACAATATGGTATCTCCTTCCAAAAGATATTCATATCAAAATTTTCTAAAATCATTAGGGAATAAGTCATTTCTCTATAGTAAATTTAGCACTTATCAGTTCAGATTTCATTTCATATAAAAAGGCACCCTTAGGGCCAGTGACACGATTATAAACAGAAGAGAAAGACAAGTGAGTCCAAAAGCAATGTGCATATACTGTACAAACAGGGACTCACATGTACATATAAAGTAAATACAAAGAGGGGGTAACCCCAAACAAGTTGGCTAAGGATACAAACTTGTAACCACAAGGTCACGAGTTTGAATCGCAACCTTCTTGATTTGAGCCAGTCAGCTATGGGCAACCTAGGCTGGTTTAACTCCTTGTGGTCCTTCGCCGGCTAGGGTCGCAAGGCGGGGTTTACCCAGTGCACACCCTCAGGTAATAATTGCGGGTTTCCCTCGTCACCCCAAAAAAAGTAAATACAAAGAAAATAGGATATAACCTGTAGGACCAGTATAGAAAGCTAGCTGCCTGCATAGAAGTATAAACATATCAGTGAGTTGACAAACAACAATATATGATGCTTAAAAAATGTAAATTGTATAGGTTTCTACAGGGATGGATGACTACGCTCTCTTTCTACATTTCCCAGAGTGGAAATGGAGTTATAAAAGTTTTCAAACGTAATCATAATATCTTTCTTTAACTTGATAAAAACTTGCATCTGAGGCCCCATGATGTGGAGAAATCCTAACTTCTTAATAATGATTATTCAAATCCATGTATTCCTGTCCATATCTTGGTTAAAAGTATAGCAAACAATAGGTATGATGAATTACTCTGTGACCCAACCTAAACGCTCGGCCAGAGGTATGATGCCTAATAAGCTTAGAAAGAAGATCCATTCCTGAAAAAAATAAATAAATAAATAAATAACAAAGCATACAAAATTAAAGGAAAAATATGCATGAATAGTAGGAGAATAAAGAAATCCACAACTCACATGATGATCGGTGAACAGATCAACAATTACAGCTAGAGGTCCGCAAGGTATAAGAAGGTTCAACTTTTTTGATAAAAACACAAGTTTAATGCTGCTTACTGCCCCCTTTAATATACATTTATAACTGAGATCATCCAACCTAGTATAAAAAGAAGATATGCGAGGAGAAGAATCATCTAGAGATAACATCTTCTGGTTAACAGCACTAACAGTGCTCTCATTCTCAAGCTCAAGCACTGCTCTTCCAGCTAATGATACCATCTGTTGGAATGAACGTTCTGTCATTAGAATATATTGTGGTAGGTGCAAAAATTCTCAGGCAACATCCGATATACATGAATTTCGCAATAATGGTTGTTCTTATGTTCACCAACTGGTTCTTTATCCATACTAGCTTTTAATGGTATAAGCTATTCAAGCCAATGCAAATATCTATATATATTGGTCCCATTTAGTAAAGCTTATGATTACAGATTATGATTACGATAAGAGTGCATGATTTATAATCAATTTCAATGATTGTGCATAATCTCTAAGTAATTCCAACTTAATCACAGATTATTGGCCTAAAAGGGATCATATGTGTTGTACAATCAATAAATCAAATCTATGACCAAATAATCAGACTAAATAAGCTTTGCCAAACACCATTAGTGTGTACCTTGAAAATTTTCAATAATTTTTTTAAATTTCATTCATTTCAGTCTTCAGAACAATCAACAATGTGTAAAAGATAGCAGGATCACAAGGAGAAAAACATTGCATTAAGCATAATAATAGAATTGCAGCAATATACACAAAGAAATCATGCTTTCAATGATAAGAGAAGATTCAATTCAAGAAATGAGTTTGGCATTGACAATTGTGAATATTTCTTGTGATTTGCCATCCAATAGTACTAATTGTTTTTCTCTGCTGAAAAAAAAAAAAAAAAGAAAAAAAAAAAGAGGGCAATTCTCAATCTCCAACCGCAGGGATAACCTTATAGCCAAATCCACCACCGAAGTCCCAAAACATCGTAAAATCATACTAAGAAAATCAATGGGAATTTCAAGAGCAAATTAGAAATAGAAAATGGCATTGGAAATTCCAAATCTTGACAAGAAATATTAACTATTAAGGGGATAGAATTACGCCCTTTTCAAGATTGAAACTCAAAGAGTGTGGGGTTTCTAGAAACAATACGTGCGCACCTGTAGGAGAGTCAGAAACTGCTGCTAGAAATCCTTAGCGGATACATTATTCTCAAATTATACTAAAGAAAATTTGCAGAAAAAAAAAGAAAAAAAGATTGTGAGTGTGGGATTTTTGTGTTTGAATTTTTTTATTTTTTATTTTTACATAATTTGTTGTTGGGGCGTAGTTTGCGCTCTAAGATTAGATTGTGAGAGATGTGGGGCAGTTGCCGGTTGGTGAACGCTGAAAGAGTTAGTTATAGTTGAAGGATTATAAAAACACAGCAACTTAAAAAAAAAAAAAAAACTATTGAAATGATATATTAAATATACAAATAAAATTTAAAATTATAAAAATATATTATAGAAAATAAGTGAAAAAATAAATAAATAATATGATAATTAATTACGATTATAAAATATATTACACAAAATAAGTGAAAAAATAATCTGATAAAAATATGATGCATAAAATAATATAAAAAGAATATACTTTATTTCTTTTTGTTATAACACCACAATGTGGTTCCGGGTAGGCACAAAAGCTGACCCAAGAGATTTGTCACACTTGTAAGAATCCAACCCAGGTTATCCTGAAATTCCCGAAAAAGAAAAACAGTAACTACCTCCCTTAAATATAAGGATTGTTGTTTGATTTCCAATGTTTTCTTATACATTGGTTGTATCTAGCTATATTTTTAAAAAAAAAAAAAAAATCACAACTTTACAATTGATTTACATAGTAATAATCGACTGTCCGCCGTGCAATATAACTTAAATAAAGTGTTGTAACATCATAATCATAAGATCACAATAGCAAGATTATTGTGTGATTGT